TATATGTGTGTATGTATATATATGTGTATGTATATATGTGTATATATGTGTATGTATATATGTGTATATATGTGTATATATGTGTGTATGTATATATATGTGTGTATGTATATATATGTGTATATGTATATATATGTGTGTATGTATATATATGTGTATATGTATATATATGTATAGATGTGTATATATATGTGTATATATATGTGTATATGTATGTATATGTATATATGTGTATATGTATATGTATGTATATGTATATATGTATATATGTGTATATGTATATATGTGTATATGTGTATATGTATGTATATGTATGTGTATATGTGTATATGTATGTGTATATGTATGTGTATATGTATATACGTATATATGTATATGTATATACGTATATGTATATACGTATACGTATATGTATATACATATACGTATATGTATATACGTATATATATATGTATATACGTATACGTATATGTGTATATGTATATGTGTATACGTATATGTGTATATATATATACGTATATGTATATATGTATATGTATATACGTATACGTATGTACGTATACGTATACGTATGTACGTATACGTATATATATATATATATATATTAATAATAACGCGTTAACTTGCCCAGCACTAATATATATATATACACACAGTATAGTGCAAACAAGCGATATAGTAAAAACAATGTATCAAAACAAGTATTATAAATAAGTAGTAAACAGTAAGGAATACTAACTAAGTAAAATGGTAAAAATCCACAATAACTAGAAGATAACTATAACTAAAAACTAAAAATATTATATATACAGACTATATACAGAATAATTGCTGTTTTGTACATTGTATTTACATTGCACAGATTATTTGTGTTTGGTGGTCTACTGGTTGTGCAGCCTGACAGCAGCAGGAAGGAAGGACCTGCAGTACCTCTCCTTCACACACCGGGGGTGAATCAGCCGGTGGCTGAAGGAGCTGCCAGGGCGTCCCGCATGGGGTGGGAGGTGTTGTTCATCAGGGATGATGGCTTAGCCATCATCCTCCTGTCTCCCACCACCTCCACCGTATCCAGTGGACACCCTAGCACACTGCTGCCTTCTTGATGAGTTTTTTGAGTCTGTTCCTGTCGGCTGTCGAGATGCTGCTGCCCCAACAGACCACTCCATAGAAGATGGCTGATGCCACCACAGAAGAAGAAGGTCCTCAGGAGAGCTCCCTGCACTCCAAAAGACCTGAGTCTCCTCAGCAGAAAGTCTGCTCTGACCCTTTTTGTAAAGTGCGTGTGTGTGATCAGTCCAGTCCAGTTTATTGTTCAAGTGAACACCGAGGTACTTATAAGATCTCACGATCTCAATGTCCGTTCCCTGGATGTTCACTGGTACCGGAGGAGAGTGAAGTCCACCAGCAGCTCTTTGGTTTTACCAGAGTTGATCTAGAGGCGGTTCCACTGGCATCATCCTTTAAAGTCCTGGTTCAGTTCCCTGTATTCCCCGTCATCACCGGCAGAAATGAGGCCGGCGATTGCAGAGTCATCAGAGAACTTTTGCAGGTGGCAGTTAGCAGAGTCGTATTTAAAGTCCGAGGTGTAGATGGTGAAGAAGAATGGAGCTAGGACGGTTCCTTGTGGGGCCCCCGTGCTGCAGGACACCAGGTCAGACTCGCACTCCCGTATCCGCACATACTGTGGACGGTTGGTGAGGTAGTCCAAGATCCATGCAGGGAGGTGGTGATCCACCCCGGTCTGCTCCAGCTGGTCCTTCAGAAGCAAAGACTGGATGGTGTTGAAGGCACTGGACAAATCACAAAACATGACTCTCACAGTGCTTCCAGCCTTTTCCAGGTGAGAAAGGCATCTGTGTAGCAGGTAGATGACAGCGTCATACACCCCGATGACAGATTGGAAAGCGAACTGTAGTGGGTCCAAAGATGAGCTCAACAGGGGACAGAGATTTACAAGGACCAGCCTCTCTAGCGTCTTCATCAGGTGGGATGTTAGCGCCACCGGGGGGTCTCTTTTTACCACACAGGATGTTTTCCACAGCTGTGGTCCTCTCCCCAGCATCAAGCTCAAGTTGAAGATGTGCTCCACTATCCCGCACAGCTGGTCTGCACTGGACTGATGCCTTGAGCTGATGCCATCTGGACCTGTGGCCTTTCTCACCTTGATCCTTCTCAGTTGTTTTCTCATCTGGTTAGTTGTGAGGGACAAGTTGGGGGCTGTGTGCCGTAGGTTTTTGGAGGGGGGGGGCACTGGTAATGGAGTGTAGTGTATGAGGAGTGTGGGGGGGAGCCGAGTGTTGTGGGGAAGGGGGTGGAAGAGGAGGGGGGAATCTACAGAGGGTTGCAGCAGCAGAGAGGACTGCCGTGTCCACATTACTCCATTTTCGTTTGGAAATGCATGTTTTGCTACGTTTAAACTGAGCGTCCACACTACGCAGGAGTTTTAGAGCACTCTAAACGGATAAGTTTCAAAACGCTCCCGAGGACGGATAAGTTTGAAAACTCCGGGGTTGCGTTTTCGTGTGGACGGCCGAAACCAGATAAGTTTAGAAACGATGACGCCCACACCCACGTTCGCTACTTGATTGGTTCTTAGCAGTCATGACGTGTCCTTCCCTGATTCGTCACATGTCTATCACGTGACCCTTACCCGGAAGATCACAAACGACAACATTGATTACCGATCGACTACCGGGTTAATTCAACATGGACAACTGATTACAGGTGGTGCTGACCTTGTTGTCTTTACCAGCAGCTGTTGTGCTGTTAAGGTCTGCATTATTACGGAGGAAGCAGCTGTTAATGGAGCGATTAGCGAGCGGCGTGTCCAGCGGCGTTATCAGCCCTACGGAGCGGACGTCTGAAGTCGCGGTTAGCAGTAAATGCTATTCAGTAGGACAGAGACTTCAGCCACCAGCAGAGCTACGAGTGAGAACAGACAACGACACAGAGGGAACGAGTGAGAGACGTGTGTTGACCACATTTATGGACCATAATCTAGCAAACTGTTACGTGTAAGTGCTGATTTTAAAGTAAATTTGATATGTGAGAGAGAGAGAGATAGAATAAGGCCTGCAGCGCTGTAACTAAGTCTGAAAAATAAAACTTCTAAAACTTTCCACGAACTGTCTGGAAACGGAGTAGTGTGGATGTAGCCTGAGGCTAACAGTGAACCCTCGTTGGTGATCTTGTTTCACGGTGTAGATCCAGAGCAGGAACCAGAGAAACACTTCCACTCCTTTCAGCCTCAGACTCTCACAGCCGCTGCTTTCTAATCACTCTGAGTATTTTTAACCCACAGCTGCTGGTCTGGAGTCAGTTTCTCATTCCAGGGGTACATCCCAAGTCTCTTATTTGTCATTTCCTCGGTCCTCGCTCGAACCGGAAGTTGTTCTGCGCCGCCATATTGACAGCCGTCCCAAAGCTCTTATTTCTGCTCTGAGGATCGAGGAGAGAGGAGGGATCTCCGAGGACCCACGAGAACAGACTTCCAGGAAGTCTTTTAACGGCCGACACGCCCCCTCATTGTTCATCAGTCATGTGATTGGACGCTGCAGCTGATCGAACTGACTGACTGAGTTTAACGCCAGAGTGAAGACGGATCACAGAATAAACTCTAGTTTATATTTGATATGTTTTCTGATTCAACATCTGGTTTAAATAAATGTTCATTGTAGTCTGAACAACAAAAGGACCACAAACAACTTTCTACATTTATTAGAAAGATTTGTGTTTTCATGATCTGATGTTTCCCTCAATAACTTTATTATGAATACAATTAAAGTCAGAGAGAGCTGGAGAGACGAAACACTTTTTACATCATTCCTGAGTGTTTGATGAGTTTTATCATTTAAGAGAAACAATAATCATATTCTGGGTTATTTAATAATGATGCCACAGTCACAGTTTCAAAACGTACAGACGTAAATAATTCATAAATAAGACGATCGCATTCCGCCGGTAGAAATGGATCCTGTGCTTATAAACAGAACACAGTTTGTTAACAGACTAGAGAGAGAAACACCTCTACAGTGGCGATTACTGTGTGTCTTTATTAGTTATTAGTATTATTAGTTACTGTTATTAAGTACAGTGATCATGGGAACAGACACAAACTTATCAAAAGTCTCTCCAGCTGTTAAAGCCAACTGACAGCTGATCAGCTGTGATCATCAGCACCGTCATCAGGAACAGACATTACTCCACGTGACGCAACTGAGGAAAGGACGTCTCATGTCTCCTAAAACATATTTCCTCGTTTCCTCTCTCCTCGCATGGTTTCCTCCATGCATCCCTGGTGGGAGGGACTAAGACGCAAGGAAAGGACCCAAGTGAGGGAAACGGGGATGCAATTAAGAGACTTGGGATGTACCCTTAGTCCCTCCCATTCCATAATAAAAGTTATTGAGGGAAACATCAGATCATGAAAACACAAATCTTTCTAATAAATGAAGAAAGTTGTTTGTGGTCCTTTTGTTGTTCAGACTAAAATGAACATTTATTTAAACCAGATGGTGAATCAGAAAACATATCAAATATAAACTAGAGTTTAATCTGATCTGACTTCACTCTGGCGTTAAACTCAGTCAGTCAATCAGTCCGATCAGCTGCAGCGTCCAATCACATGACTGATGAAAAATGAGGGGGCGTGTCGGCCGTTAAAACACTTCCTGGAAGTCTGTTCTCATGGCTCCTCAGAGATCCCTCCTCGATCCTCAGAGCAGAAATAAGAGCTTTGGGACGGCCATCAATATGGAGGAGCAGAACAACTTCCGGTTCAAGCGAGGACCGAGGAAATTACAAATAAGAGACTTGAGATGTACCCCAGGTTCACTATGAGACCTGGTTCAGTCTAAGATCTGGTGTTACACCCCTACTGGTTTTCAAACCGACTGGTTCTTCCGTGAGTGTGTTGTGTTAACTTAACTTATTATTATTATCATTATTATTACTATTATTAATAGCCAACAATCAAGTGTTAAATATTAAAATTATACATAAAAATATGATTTTATAAAAATGTGTTTGTTGTCCAATCAGCTCTTTGATCTGGCGTTTCCCATCATGCATTGGGTCACCTGGCTCTAAAAACTCTTGTGAGGTCATCGTTACCACGAGTTCATGACTTCAGAGCAAGTCGGACACAAATCTACCCAGAATGCATTGTGTGGCTCATCTCCAACGATCTTATTATTATGAAAGTTTAACTCTCAGGAAGGTTTTAAAATGTGGCCAAATTTATGTATTTTATTTTAATGAACTTGAATGAAACCTGAACTCTTCATTGTTAATATACAGATAACGGTCGTTTTATTTAGTAAATTATTTTAGTATGTTTAATGGAAAGAAGTCACCTGTTTCTTCTTACCTGTTTTTAAATGTGACCAGCTGTGAGTCACGTGTGTGTCTTCAGGTGAGACCTCCAGCTTCTTCTTCTGTGGTTGAAACATGGAGTTGGCGTACATGTGTGAGTGGGAGAAACGACCAAAGAGCACTCACTGTCCGTCCATCCCTCTGGTCTCTTCCTGGTCCTGTAGGAACCTGGTGGCCTTCACCACCGACCTGAAGAGTGAGGACGACGACAAAGGTGAGCACCTGCAGCATAGACACACCTGCAACACAGATACACCTGCAACACAGATACACCTGCAGCACAGACACGCATACGACACGCCTGCAGCACAGACACGCCTACGACTCGCCTGCAGCACAGACACGCCTACGACTCGCCTGCAGCACAGACACGCCTACGACTCGCCTGCAGCACAGACACGCCTGCGACTCGCCTGCAGCACAGACACGCCTACGACTCGCCTGCAGCACAGACACCCCTGTAGCACACCTGGAACTACTAAACCAAGTCAGCTGACAGGATTAATACTTCGGTAACAGAAACTGATCCTGTAAGAATCTGTGAGGTTCTGTTTTCTTTCTGTTTTCACTGTTTTACAAACCATATTGTGTGTGTGTTCCAGATGTTAGTCACATGATCCACATCATCGACACTGAGCACCCCTGGGACGTTTACTCCATCAGCTCTGGGCACACTGAGGTCATTTCATGTCTGGAGTGGGATCAATCAGGTAAGATTTACCTCACAGTCTGTTTATTGATCTGTTTGTGTGTTTATTGATCTGTTTGTGTGTTTATTGATCTGTTTGTGTGTTGAGGTTCAAGACTGCTGTCTGCAGACGGTGACGGACAGATTAAGTGTTGGTCGATGTCGGATCACCTGGTAAACAGCTGGGAGTGCGTCCTCTCCAGCTCTCTGGACGGAGATCCAATCGTGGCTCTGAGCTGGCTGCACAACGGAGTGAAGCTGGCTTTGCACGTTGAGATGGTAACACAAACAGACGCTCCAAACTCTTGTATATATCAGACAGTTAATAAGTATATAAATCACGTGTTTGTTGTGGGTTCAGTCAGGTTCTACAAACTTCGGTGAGAAGTTTTCTCGGGTGAAGTTCTCTCCGTCTCTGACCCTGTTTGGTGGTAAGCCGATGGAGGGCTGGTTGGCGGTGACCGTGAGCGGTTTGGTCACCGTGTCGTTGTTGAAGCCGGGCGGCGCTCTGTTGACGGCCAGCGAGAGTCTCTGCCGGCTGAGAGGACGGGTGGCGTTAGCCGACATCGCCTTCACCGGAGGAGGGAACATCGTGGTGGCGGCGACCGACGGCAGCAGCTCGTCTCCCGTCCAGTTCTACAAGGTCAGAACCTCGTTGTCATAGTGTTCTCTGACCATCATTGGTTCCAGTAACAGTAAACATGTTCTCTGTGTTCAGGTGGTGGTGAGCGTCGTCAGCGAGAAGTGTCGCATCGACACAGAACTGTTACCATCTCTGTTCCTGCGCTGCACCACCGACCCTCTGAGGAGGGAAAAATACCCGTCTGTCACCCACCTCAAGTTCCTCACCAGAGAGAACTCTGAACAGGTAACAAGCAGAAGCAGAGAGAACTCTGAACCTATAACAGGGAGAACCAGAGAGAGCTCTGAACAGGTAACAAGGAGAACCAGAGAGAACTTTGAACTTACAACAGGGAGAACCTGGGGAACCAGTAGAACCACAGAGTTCTCTGAACAGGTAACCAGTAGAACATCAAGAACAGACCAGAGAGGAGTTGGTCACACAGAACTAAAGAACCTGACAGAACATCTGTGTGTGTTGCAGGTTCTGCTGTGTGCGTCCAATCAGAACGGCAGCATCGTGGAGTGTTGGTCTCTGAGGAAGGAGGGACTTCCTGTCAACAACATCTTCCAGCACCGCTCACCAGTTGGTAAGAGACCACACTGGTTGAACTGGGTCAGTGCTGGATGTTTGACCTCTTACCTCCCTCCTGTGTCCAGTCGGAGAGAAGCAGCCGACCATCTTGAAGTGGAGGATCCTGACGACCACCAGCGACCTGGAGCGAGTGTCGGCCGTCGCTCTGCCCAAACTCCCCATCTCCATCTCCAACACGGACCTGAAGGTGGCGTCAGATACCAAGTTCTGCCCGGGACTCGGTGAGCGCTCCGCCCGTCTGTCAGCTGTGTTGGAACCGGGTCCTGGTCTGAGGATCGGTTCTCTCCTGTGTTGGTACCAGGTCTGAGGATCGGTTTTCTCCTGTGTTGGCAGGTCTGGCTCTGGCCTTCCATGACGGCAGTATTCAGATCCTCCACCGTCTGTCCCTCCACACAATGGGGATTTTCTATGGTTCCTCCTCCGGTCAGAGACCCGGAGACGAGTCTGCCATCAAACGCCAGAGAACCGGAAGCCCGGCGCTCCACTTCAAGGCCCTGCAGTTCTCTTGGACTTCACTGGCACTGGCCGGAGTGGACAACCACGGGAAGGTGAGCTCGCACACCTGAGTACTGGTGGTCAGAAACCTGTTTCATTATTAGGGCCCGAGCAACCGACAACGTCGGGCCAGCGAAGGCCCTATTGATATTGTACCCGTTTGGGTAAATGTATGCATGGTTGGAGGACTTGCCATGCATGAAAACTCATTAAATTTTGGGGACTTGTCAGGCCTGGTAAAAGTAGCCATCTGAAAAAGAATGCATCTTTCTGTGTAAAAAAAAATGGCTCTCTAGCGCCCCCTACAAGTCGGACCGGCGACGCCCCTCGGCCAGTATGTCCGATTTACTTGAAATTCAACACACATGTCCACTTGAGCTAGATCTACAAAAAAGCCAATCAGACCCCTAAGCTCCGCCTACTTAGATTTTCCGCCATATTGAATTTAGTGTAAAACACATTTTTTGCGAACTCCTCCTACATGCTTGGTCCGATTACTACCAAATTGGCTGTGGATCATTACTGGATATAAGTCATCAAAAGTTATCAAAAGCTTTTTGATAACTCTTTTCGTTTACACGATATGGACCAATAAACTTCTTAGGGGCGTGGCTTAATATCAATACACATAATCTCTCAACCGTTTGTCCTAAAATTACAAAACTTGCAGCATATGTGCACATCGTATCCTGTAACATACCCTGAGAATTGTTTTGCAGTCAACCACTAGGGGGCGCTACAGTAAGCCCGCGAAGTTGTGCTTTTTTGTCACTTTTTGCATTTTTCAGCCTTCGCACTTTAACGAACTCCTCCTAGAGATTTTAAGCGATCAACTTCTACTTTGGTCAGGATGCTCTTAAGACCTTTGTGATTAAAAGTTATCAAAATCGAGAGTTTTCATTGAAGAACCTTGACGTGGCGGCCATTTTGCCTCATTGCCTCATCAAAACATAAGTTATTATAAGTTGTTATAACTCCAAGGCGACCATGGCTCACTGGCTTAAGAGGGTTGTCTGGTAACCGCAGGGTCAACGGTTCGATCCTCTACTGAGCAAGACACTGAACCCCTGGCTCCCCGGGTGCCTGTCCCTATATACAGGGATGGGTCAAATGCAGAAGTCAAATTTCGTGTATGTGTATATGACAATAAAAAGGGTTTCTTTGTTTCTTTCTTTCTTCTTCTTTCTTTCATTATCCACTCCGCACAAAATTTCTTCTGCATGATGCTACTTCAAGCCTAAACATACTTCAATTGAAATAAATTCAATAACTCATAGCGCCGCCTGGCTAAAGGAAATGTCATATCCTATACTTTTATTTATTTCTCCTAGCCAGGTGACCTGATGAGTCTAAAATTTGGTAAGGATAACCTTAAGACATTGATGATGGATCATCATGAATTTTGTGAGTTTTCGTTGAACCCTATTGCCATGGCGACGCATCGTTTGCCATGAAAAAGGAAGCTGATGGTTTAGTGAGTTGGGATGCTCAAAAACTCATGGAACTTTGTACATGTGTCACAGGTCATTGGAAGAAATAGTTTATATGATTTTTTTTTTATTGGCCGTTTTAAATTGCCTCTATAGCGCCCGTACAATATTTCAAAAGAGCAGCCCTAGCGCTACGTTTTGGCTACATGTATGAAACTTGGTAGGCACATGTATCCTATGGAGACTTAAAATTAAGTCTCTTGGAACCATGCTCTAAACCCTACCGGAAGTCTGCCATTTTCAATTTTGTATGAATTTATACAATATTTCGACGATGCAGCCCTCTATATATAAAATTTAGATGTATAACATTTGGTAAACAGATGTATCACATGTAGACTGATAAAAAAGCCCCTGGAGCTCTAAGCTCTAAACCCAACCGGAAGTCAGCCATTTTGAATTTAGTGAAAAAAACACATTTTTGCGAACTCCTACACGCTGGGTCCGATTTCTACGAAATTTGCTGTGGATCATAAGTGGATCTAGATCATCAAAAGTTATCAAAATCTTTTTGATATCTCTTTGCGTTTACAAGATATGGACCAATACACTTCTTAGGTGCGTGGCAAAATATCAATTCACATAACTTCTCAACCATTTGTTCTAAATTCCCAAAATATTCAGCATATGTGCACATCGCATACAGTAACATACCCTGACAATTTGTTTGCATTCGACCACTAGGGGGTGCTACAGTAAACCCGCAAAGCTTACTGGCTAAAGGAAATGTCTGATGTAACTCAGCTGGACTTGTTCCAAACAGTCCCAAACTTCACATGCTTGATACCACTCATGGCCTGAGGATGTCTACAAGCTAATTTTCACTAATACTCACAGCGCCACCTGCTGGCGAAAGGAAATCTGCGGTTTGTGACAAACAGCATCAGATTTACATGACTTTTACACAATGTGGTTTACATTTGACACAGAGCTACATAATGCATGTTTGCACGCTTTCTGTAGCGCCAGGCAGCGGATACAGGAAGCGTCGGACTATTTGCAAAGCATCATTTCCAGCATCAGGCGGTCCACGCCGGATTAAAAATGTCTCGCTCGCGGACGCGCCGTCCGACGGTCGCGGACATTCTCGGACGCGTAGGCCGGAGTCCCGCCGGCACCCCCGACACGCTGCAGATTGCGAGGGCCCGTTCATTGCTGCTCGCAGCTTTAATTATTATTACTTCCATTATTCTGCCCAAAATAAATCGTGATTAACGATATTAAAACTGCTCTAAAACATGCAGCGATCACCCGACATTAAGTTGTGACTTTTATGAGACTCACATCTTTTAGTAGAGAACATCCTTTGAATCTTAAATACGGTAATTACAAGTGTTCATGCTTAAATAAAGGATCAATAACAACAGTGTGATTGTGTTCTTTATAATATGCAGACTGAGTCAGACATCAGTGTCTGATTCTAGAGTTTACTTCCCTGTTGTTTCCTCCTCAGCTCCATATGCTGAGAGTGTCGCCCTCTATGGGTCAGGTGCTGGAGATGAACACGACGCTGCGCCACCTGCTGTTCCTGTTGGAGTACTGCATGGTGACGGGCTACGACTGGTGGGACGTCCTGCTGCATGTGCAGCCCACCATGGTCCACAACCTGGTGGAGAAGCTGCACGAGGAGTACATGAGGCAGAACCAGGCGCTGCAGCAGGTCAGACTGGAGCAGTAACTGCTATTCTATTTAAATTAGTGCTGGTCAAGTTGGCGCGTTATTATCGCATTAACGCATTCATTAATTGACGCCGACAATTATTTTATAGAGCGTTAACGCATTTTTTTATTTTGAAAGTCTGTGGAGGAAGTCTTCAGCAGACTACGTTGATGCAGCGTGTGGATACTGCAGCCGGTTAGAATACACTGCGTTACAACGTGCACCAGCTGTTGCTCTCCCTGGAGACTACTGGACATGCTGCGGTAAAGTCAGCAGACACTTTTAGTGCACCTATATGCTGAAATTCACGGTAAACGCATTCAAACGGCACAGGTCGGGAGCGAGCGAAGGAGAAAGTTAGCGGAAAGATTAACGTGAGACAACATCCGGTTTCTTCAGACCAACATCCGGTTTTCAGAATAAGATGCCAACAAAGTATGAATTATATTCACATTAAGTATAAAACATGCTACCTGTATCTCGTGAACCAAATGTTATTGCCCTTTTGTTCATATAGCAGTACTTTTAAAATAAAAGTGCGCAATACACTACTTTTGAATTAATTATTGAACTTTGCCATAACAAAGCGATTAAATGCGATTAATCGCAAAAAATCCATGCGATTAAATATTTTAATCGTTGCCCAGCACTAATTTAAATACATCAAACTGGTTTTACATTCACTTCATCATTTGTTATTTAAAGACCCGTCACATGTCAAAGGAACTATTTCTGATTCTGCAAATTCAACTGCTTACGGGCTTAAACTGAGATTCAGCAGTAAACTCCACTTCCCATGATGCCTCAGTGTAGCTGTATGATGTGTGTCTCAGGTTCTGGCCACACGTATCGTGGCAGTGAAGGCATCTCTCTGTAAACTCTCCACGGCTACAGCGGCTCGAGCCTGCGACTTCCACGCCAAACTTCTGCTGATCGCCATCAGCTCCACCTTAAAGTCTCTGCTCAGGCCGCACGTCCTCAACACACCTGACAAGAGTCCAGGTGACCGACTGACAGAGATCTGTGCCAAGAACATCGACACAGGTGAGATAGTTGAAGGACAGGTGAGATACCTGAAGGACAGGTGAGATACCTGAAGGACAGGTGAGATACCTGAMGGACAGGTGARATACCTGACGGACAGGCGAGACACATGACGGACAGGCGAGACACATGACGGACAGGCGAGACACATGACGGACAGGCGAGACACATGACGGACAGGCGAAATACCTGACGGACAGGCGAGACACCTGACGGACAGGCGAGACACCTGAAGGACAGGTGAAATACATGAGGGACAGTTGAGACACCTGAGGGACAGTTGAAATACCTGAAGGACACATGACGGACAGGTGAGACACATGACGGACAGGTGAGACACCTGAGGGACAGGTGAGACACATGACGGACAGGTGAGATACGTACCTGAGGGACAGGTGAGATACCTGAAGGACAGGTGAAATGCATGAGGGACATGTGAGACACCTGAGGGACAGGTGAGACACATGAGGGACAGGTGAGATACCTGACGGAGAGGTGAGACACATGACGGACAGGTGAGATACCTGAGGGACAGGTGAAATACCTGAAGGACAGGTGAGATATCGAGGGACAGCTGATGATGACCACTGATTGATCACTGTGTCTCCTCAGATATTGATAAGGTGATGATCAATCTGAAGACGGAGGAGTTTGTGTTGGACGGCCCCCCCCTTCAGTCCCTGCAGCAGCTCATCCAATGGGTTGGAGACTTTGTCCTCTACCTGCTGGCTAACCTGCCCAACCAGGTGAGCTAACAAGAACACTGCTAACGACAAGTAATGTTCCTTCATCGGGAACTTCAGGTGAGTTATGAGGAGGATTTTCCCTCCACAATACAAAGTAAAAACAAAATGACCAGGACGAGACAAAGAGAGTTATCCATAGAGCATAGAACTGGAAAAGGGAACCATGTAGAACCAAAAACATACCAAGAAACCACAGAGAGGACTAGAACCCAAGAAACCACAGAGAGGACTAGAACCAAAGAAACCACAGAGAGGACTAGAACCCAAGACACCACAGAGAGGACTAGAACCCAAGACACCACAGAGAGGACTAGAACCCAAGATACCACAGAGAGGACTAGAACCCAATGAACCACAGAGAGGACTAGAACCCAATGAACCACAGAGGACTAGAGCCCAAGACACCACAGACAAGACTAGAGCCCAAGACACCACAGAGAGGACTAGAACCCAAGAAACCACAGAGAGGACTAGACACCACAGACGAGACTAGAACCCAAGAAACTACAGAGAGGACTAGACACCACAGACGAGACTAGAACCCAAGAAACTACAGAGAGGACTAGAACCCAAGATACCACAGAGGACTAGAACCCAAGACACCACAGAGAGGACTAGAAACCACAGACAAGACTAGAACCCAAGAAACCACAGAGAGGACTAGAATCCAAGAAACCACATTGAGGACTAGAACCCAAGAAACCACAGAGAGAACTAGAACCAAAGAAACCACAGAGTTGACTAGAACCAAAGAAACCACAGAGAGGACTAGAACCAAAAAAACCAGACAAGACTAGAAACCACAGACAGGACTAGAACCCAAGAAACAAGACAAGACTAGAACCCAAGGTACCACAGACAAAACTGGAACCCAAGAATCCACAGAGAACACTAGAACCCAAGAAAATATATCTGACCTTAATGGACAAACCCACTAAAGTTAAACGCTTGTTTCCATTGTGGTCCTCATAAGAAGAGTAAGACCACAAACCTGATCTGTGTTCTCTGGTGTGGTCCTCATAAGAAGAGTAAGACCACAGACCTGATCTGTGTTCTCTACCCCCACAGGGCTCCCTGGTCCGGCCTGGTTTCGGCTTCATGAGAGACGGATCCTCACTGGGTCTTCTGAGGGAGATGTTGGTGATGATCAGGATCTGGGGTCTTCTGAAACCAGGATGTCTTCCAACGTTTACAGCGACCTCAGACAACCAGGACAGCATGCAGCTGATCTTCAGACTGCTCACCAAGCTGTGGCTCTGCTGTAAGACTTGTTATTGATCATGTTATTGATCATGTTGTTGATCACTGAAAGACTCTACTGATCATGTTATTGATCATGTTATTGATCACTTAACGACTCTACTGATCATGTTATTGATCATGTTGATCACTTAAAGACTCTACTGATCATGTTATTGATCATGTTATTGATCACTTAACGACTCTACTGATCATGTTATTGATCATGTTGATCACTTAAAGACTCTACTGATCATGTTATTGATCAGAACCAATCATTTCAAGACTCTACTGATCATGTTATTGATCATGTTTTTGATCACTTAACGACTCTACTGATCGTGTTATTGATCAGAACCGATCACTTAAAGACTCTACTGATCATGTTATTGATCAGAACCAATCACTTAAAGACTCGTGTTATTGATTAAGTTATTGATCATGTTATTGATCATTTAAAGACTCTACGGGTCACATGTTATTGATGTTACAACATGTTAAGTCACCTTGTTCACTGACTGATTCTCTGTTTCTCAGCCCGGGACGACGGACCCCCCCAGGACCCTGATGAGACTCTGATCGATGAGTGCTGCCTGCTGCCCAGTCAGCTGCTGGTTCCCAGTATGGACTGGCTCCCAGTTAATGATGGCGTCATCGTCAAGCTGCAGGGTAAACACCCGCTGAGGCTGCAGTTTGGAAAAGCCTCGTCTCTTCCCGGAGCAGGTTCTACTGCCCCGATGGAGGTCTTCACCAGGTAACACACCTGGACCTGGACTCTCTGAGGGGCTGCTGGTTCAACACACTGAGATATCACATGTACAAGTAAACAGAACACATCTAATTCATCTGTGTGTGTGTGTGTGTGTGTGTGTGTGTGTGTGTGTGTGTGTAGGAGTCTCGGCTCTCAGAAGATGGATAACCTGCGTTGTGTCCATATGGGCGTCTGTCCCACTGAGGAGAGCAAGGCCTGCACCAGGTGAGTCCACAGGAAGTGATGTCATAGCACATTCACCTGTTTCATCAGCTTCAGCTTCAGGTGTTCTAGGAAACAGGAGTACCTTTAAAGGAACCTGAACACATCACACACAACATTTACAGCTCTAGATCTGCAGGTTTAGAGCTGTAAATGTTATGTGTGATGTGTTCAGGTACCTTTTAAAGATTAAACATGTTAAATGTCTGTGATGTGTTCAGGTTAAACATGTTGAATGGCTGTGATGTGTTCAGGTGCGGCTGCGTGACGATGCTTCGTTCTCCAAACAAGACGAATGCCATGAAGCAGTGGGAGCAGCGCTGGATCAAGAACTGTCTGTGTGGAGGTCTGTGGAGGAAGATTCCTGCAACGCTCACCTGAACGCATCACCTATCACGTTCCTCTCCAAATTAACCTGTAAATAAAGTTTGTTTTGTATTTGACTTTGTAATAAAACTGTCAAAATAAAAGCTTGTTTTCTTCCTGATGTTTATTTATTGTCTTTTAAACTGGAAAATTCAAAACGATCAATGTTTTCGAGTCAAAGTATTTAAGTTGAATTTCTTTCGAAAATAAATAAACGTTTCAGAATTAAACTTTAAAACATTGAGACACTTTATTGTGATACTCAACACGTCATGAAGATGTTCCTGTTACAGGTGCCATGTTGGTTCTGATGACGTCATAGTTTAAACGGGAACAAGAGTTTATTAAGATAACGTTACGGAGAGGACCAGAGTTCTCTTCTGGATCCTCAGGACTGGATCTGATCTGGACCTGGTCTGGGTCCATTCATGAAGAGAGAGTTGAGCTTCATGAACAACCACTTCAATAACAGACATTTTTACATATTTAAAATTTGATCTTCAGTGTGTTTGTGTAAAAATACTTCACGAGTCTCAGAGGACAAGAACTTCCTTTCATCCATTCATAAAGATCAAAGATATATATATATACTATGTGTATTAAGAATATTAAAATCAGATATTAGAGCTGCTTTAAAGGAGAACAAATCCTCACGTCTGTGGCTCGGAACCTGGAGGCACTGATCACCTGCCATACACACACTCACACACAATACACACATACACTGACACATATATAATACACACACTCGCACACACGCATCGTGCAGCAGCAGCAGATCTCCGCCAGCAAACAGAAAGCGGTTCCAGATCCGCGTTATTTCAGGGAGAACGGATCCTGCATCGGGACCATCGGAACCAGAACCGAGCCGCTGTAACCCGAGACTAGCAGGCAGGTGTGTCCGGTGTCACGGCTCGTCAGCGGGTCCGGTTCTGCTGCTGGAAGACGAAACGTGATCCGAATCAAGACGGATCGATGGCCTGAGGTGAGACCGACCGATTTCTACTGTTTCTACTGAGCGCGTGCGTCTGTGAACGTGTTTGAGTGCGTGCGTGTATTACGTGTGCGTGTGTGTGTGTGTGTGTGTGTGTGTGTGTTCTGCGGAGCAGCAGATTAACTGAAGCTGCATCCGAGCCGTTAGACAATAAATCGGGATTTACCACCGAGCCGGATCATGTCTGCAGTCCTTCAGGCTGCAGGGACTGTTTACCTGTCTGTCCGTCCGTCTGTCTGCCCGCCCACCTGTCTGTCCACCTATCTGTCTGTCTGTCCATCTGTCTGTCTGTCTGTGCTCTGATTGGTTGAATATTAATTGGCAGCAGGAGATGAAGCAGAGTTTGATGTTCAGGTGTCAACAAGATACTCGACATCTGAGGAAGAGGATGAAAACACCAGTGAGACACCAACGATACACCAATGAGACAGGAGTGAGACACCAATGAGATACCAACGAGACAGAAACGAGACACCAGTGAGACATCAACGAGACATCAGTGAGACACCAACGAGACACCAGTGAGACATCAACGAGACATCAGTGAGACACCAACGAGACACCAGTGAGACATCAATGAGACACCAGTGAGACACCAACGAGACACCAATGAGACACCAGTGAGACACCGACGAGACACCAATGAGACACCAGTGAGACACCAATGAGACACCAGTGAGACACCGACGAGACACCAATGAGACATCAATGAGACATTTGCACAAGTTGCTCCTGCAGATTGTCCCTGTGGTCTCTCAATGTTAGTTAGTCCTGTATATACATATATGTGTATATATATTAGTGCTGGGCAACGATTAATATTTTTAATCGCGATTAATCTCATTGTTATGGCAAAGTTCAATAATGAATTCAAAAGTAGTGTATTGCGCACTTTTATTTTGAAAGTACTGCTATATGAACAAAAGGTCAATAACATTTGGTTTGTAAACACTTTAAACACATCAGGTTGTTGTTAGCAGCAGTATTCCCTTTACACAGCAGCAGTTATAACACAGTTATAATGATTCTGATCATAGATATTCAGCCGGTGTTCATAACTTTATCTTCATGTGTGTAAGAGATGATATTTAAATATACACCTTGAAAACTGCAAACCTATCTACGTCATGTTTTTATGTTTGTTAAATTCTCAGTAGCGATAACTAAATGATGCTTATTATACATATTACAAACAAAACACTTAAACTCGACAATATGTATTTTAATATTGTCACTGTTGTAAATTTTTTGATTGCATGATTTACTTTTATTGTGAAGAGTATGAAAAGGAAGTGCTTTTACTTTGAAGAGACAGGAAGTAGAATGGTACGTGTTCTTGACGTTAACAATATTGATGAAACGTAGAAAACCACATGTCGGGTGCAAGAGTGCGTTGTGTTCACTGTAACACTGTAACACTGCATTTCAGACAGTAAAGTGTTCCGTTCAAACAAGACGTGTCTTCCTCACGAGAAGCTCCACTTCACAACAGTCACGTTTGATCTGTAACGAGACGATGGCGCTCGCGTGTGTGTGTGTGTGAGACAAGAGTGAAGGACGGTGAAGGAGTGTAGGAGGGGTTCTGGACCCGGGGGGGGGAGAAGGAAGTGACGCCACACGAACACAGCTGTTCACTGCTTGCTGCCTGGTTCTTGTGTTAAAAATGTGGCTTAATAATAAATAAATAAATGCGTTAACGCTCGATAATATAATTGTCGGCATTAATTAATTAATGCGTTAACGTAATAATAACGCGTTAACTTGCCCAGCACTAATATATATATATATACATACAGTGTGTGTGTGTGTGTGTGTGTGTGTGTGTGTGTGTTGCAGCTCCATCAGGATGATGATGAACTCTGAGAAGATGAAGAAGAAACCTCCAAAGGACAGTTTGACTCTGCTGCCATGTTTCTACTTTGTGGAGGTGAGAATGACGACGATGATGATGATGATGATGATGGGGCGGGGTTAAATGAAACGATGTATGTGGACGTTCTGGGGGGCGGGGTTAAATGAAACGATGGATGTGGATGTTCTGGGGGGTGGGATTAAAGGAAACGATGGATGTGGATGTTCTGGGGGGCGTGGTTAAAGGAAATGATGGATGTGGATGTTCTGGGGGGCGGGGTTAAAGGAAATGTTGGATGTGGATGTTCTGGGGGGCGGAGTTAAAGGAAACGATGGATGTGGGCGAGGGTAAAGGTCTGAATGTTTGATGTGGTTGCAGCTGCCCATCGTGGCTTCTTCTATGGTGTCTCTGTACTTCCTGGAGCTCACCGATGTGGTTCAGCCGGCTCAGGTTGGGTTCCGCTGCCACGACAGAGACCTCAGCATGCCGTACGTGGACGGAGGAGACGAGCTGATCCCTCTGCTGATGCTGCTCAGCCTCGCCTTTGCCGGACCGGCTGCCTCGGTAACACACACACACACACATCCAGTGTGAAGATAAGACTGAAACCAAAACCTGACCTAGGACCTGATCCACATGGTATCTGGTCTCATCAGGTCTTTTATGGCCCTGTTGTGTTTTGGTGGGTCTCAGGTCTCAGAATGTGTCCCAGACCTGAAGCCAGAGCTCAGGGTGTGTTTGTTTTGTGCATCAGATCGTGCTGGTTGAAGGTACTGAGGGTGTGTTTGTTTTGTGCATCAGATCATGCTGGTTGAAGGTACTGAGGGTGTGTTTGTTTTGTGCATCAGATCATGCTGGTTGAAGGTCTGATCTACTGTCTACAGTCCAGACTGAAGCTCCGTCGACCTGAAGGAAGCATCAACGCAGGAGGCTGCAACTTCAACTCCTTCCTGAGGAGGACGGTGCGCTTCGTAGGTACGACGCTGACTACAACCACGAATACACCTGCAGTTACACCTTCAGCTGCACCTGCAGTCCTCACACCTGTCTGTCTGTCTACAGGTGTTCAGTCCTCACACCTGTCGGTCTCTCTGCAGTCCTCACACCTGTCTGTCTCTCTCCAGATGTTCAGTCCTCACACCTGTCTGTCTCTCTTCAGTCCTCACACCTGTCTGTCTCTCTGCAGTTCTCACACCTTTCTGTCTCTCTGCAGGTGTTCAGTCCTCACACCTGTCTGTCTCTCTACAGGTGTTCAGTCCTCACACCTGTCTGTCTCTCTGCAGGTGTGCATGTGTTTGGTCTGTGTGCGACGGCTCTGGTCACTGACATCATCCAGCTGTCGACAGGTTACCATGCTCCGTTCTTCCTCACCGTCTGTAAACCAAACTACACTCATGTGGGCGTGTCCTGTGACAGAAACGCTTACATCACTAAAGACATCTGCTCGGGTCACGACCAGCACGCCATCATGGCTGCCAGGTGAGTTATCTGTTCAGGTCGCGTTCAGTGATTAACGTGATGTTGATTCAACGTTCCGCTCCTTCTGTTGTTTTCACAGGAAGACGTTCCCTTCCCAGCATGCAACTCTCTCTGCCTTTGCTGCTGTTTACGTTTCTGTGAGTATGACTCATCTTTGTTCAAACCAACACAACTTTATTTAAAATGATGCGAAGAGATGAACACAAACAAGCTACATCCACATATATTAGGGCTGGGAAAGTTAACGCATTAATTAATTAACGCCGACAATTATTTTATCGCGCATTAACGCAGTTTTTTAATTATTATTAAGCGGACATTGTTAACACAAGAACCGGGCAGCGAGCGGTGAACAGCTGTGTTTGTGTGCGTGGCACCTCTTCTTCTCTTCCTGCTGCTGCCACCCCCCCGCCCCCCCCCCCCCCCCCCCGGGTGACACGTCTCATTACAGAATCGTGACAATATCAAAAGACATATTGTGGTGTTTTTAAATGAACATATAAGCACGAGAGAACAAACTGCTCTTAACTCAACTCTTTATTAGCATAACTTCCTCATGCAGGTTACTGCCACGCTACAGACTACAGGTTCCATGCTTCACCTACAGTCCCCTGGGTCCTAAGTCCCTCCATGTACAGCTTCTTATCATCCTCTATGTACCAACGTACATTTATAACAAATACCACACATATTACGGTAATCAGTGTTGCATATGTGTCTGACCACAATACCACAAACATAAATGATTCATTTTAATTATTGTTTTAGAGTTTTTAAAGTGTTTTGTTTGTAATATGTATAATAAGCATCATTTAGTATCACTACTGAGAATTTAACAAACATAAAAACATGACGTAGATAGGTTTCAGTTTTGAAGAAGTATATTTAAATATCATCTCTTCCACACATGAAGATAAAGTTATGAACACCGGCTGAATATCTATGATCAGAATCATTATAACTGTGTTATAACTGCTGCTGTGTAAAGGGAATACTGCTGCTAACAAGAACCTGATGTGTTTAAAGTGTTTACAAACCAAATGTTATTGACCTTTTGTTCATATAGCAGTACTTTCAAAATAATAGTGAGCAATACACTACTTTTGAATTTATTATTGAACTTTGCGCATAACAGAAAATCATGCGATTAATCATGATTAAAAAATGTAATCGTTGCCCAGCACTAATGTATATATATATTTATACATACATTTATGATTCTTGTGTTTCAGATGTATTTTAACTCGACCATCTCTGACAGCACCAAGCTGCTGAAGCCTGTCTTAGTGTTTGCGTTCTCCATCACGGCGGTGCTGACGGGTCTGACTCAGATCACTCAGCATCGCAGTCATCCCATAGACGTCTATGTGGGCTTCCTCATCGGAGCCTTCGTTGCCGCTTACCTGGTGAGACATCATGAAAAGAAACATGTTTAAACACTAACCAGGTGAGACGCCTTTAAACACTCGAGGAGGAAACAGATCAAACAGTCCAGCTGTGTGTTTCTGTTGCCATGACGACTGCTTCAGAATAAAACCAAAAGTGTGAACTCTTCATCATGTTTCAGACACTGAATATTAACAATAACAATAATAATGATAATAACAATAATGATAATAACGATAACGATAATAATGATAATGACGATAACGATAACGATAATAACGATAACGATAATAACGATAACGATAATAACGCTAATGACGATAACGATAATAACGATAACGATAATAACGATAACGATAACGATAATGATAATAACGATAATGATAATAATAATAACAATAATGATAATAACGATAACTATAATGATAATGACGATAACGATAATGACGATAACGATAACGATAATGATAATAACGATAATAACGATAATGATAACAACGATAATGATAACAACGATAACGATAATAA